AGGCTACACAGCCAAATACTCTTAGTTTGTCGAGATCTGGTGGATGTCCCGACCAAACTTCTTCAGGTGTCTTCATATCTAACGCTGTCGAAGGACATCTGTTTATCAGATATGTTGCTGTCAAAACAGCCTCAGCCCAAAACACCTTCTTTAATCCCGCACTAGTCAACATGCATCTAACTCTCTCCAAAATAGTTCGATTAAACCTTTCAGCCAAACCATTTTGTTGAGGAGTACCTGCGGTAGTTCTGTGCCTTGCAATACCAGAGGCAACACAAAAACTGTCGAACGCCTCATTGCAAAACTCAAGGCCATTGTCGGTTCTCAACCTCTTTACCTTTCTGCCAGTTTGATTTTCGACAAGAGTCTTCCAACTTTTGAAATTCTCAAAAGTTTCATCCTTAGTCTTCTGGATGAATACCCATAACTTTCTGGAATAGTCATCTACTATGGATAGAAAATACTTTGCTCCTGAATGTGATGGACACCTTGCAGGCCCCCAAAGATCAGCATGGATGTAATCAAGGGATCCATGTGTTCTTTGTTTGCCTTTGTTGAACTTCATTCTACAGGATTTTCCAAGTACACAGGGTTCACAAAACTTCAGCTTTTCGACTTTATCTCCACCAAGCAGATTTTGTTTCCCTAATTCGACCAGACCCCTTTCACTGACATGGCCCAATCTCATGTGCCAAATTTCTGTCTTCGACAAAGGTTTCGTGGATGCAACATTTGTCGAACCACTTACAACTTCAGCCTCAAGGGTATACAAGCCTTGTTTCTTCACGCCTCTCAAGACTTCCTTCGACCCTTTCATGACTCTCAGGATACTTTTCTCTCCTTGAAAAACATATCCTTTCTTGTCGAATTCACCAAGAGAAATCAAATTTCTCTTCAAATCAGGTACATACCTGACTTCAGTCAACAGTCTTATTGACTCATCATGGAGCTTGAATCTCACAGATCCAACGCCTGCAATCTTGCAAGCTTTGTTGTTTCCCAGCAATACCGATCCACCATCTTGATCACATAATTCCTCGAACAAGTCTTTGTTTGGAGTCATGTGCCAAGTGCATCCAGAATCCATAATCCACTCCTTCGACGAGTTGTTGCTTGAAACCACAAGAACATCAGATGATTCGAAATCATCTTGGACAATAGCTGCATTGCCATTATCCTTACCTCCATGATCTTTCAGGCGTTCAGGGCACACCTTTCTTGTGTGACCTACTTTCTTACAGTGATAGCATCTAATACCAGATGTGTCACCACTATAAGACTTCGACTGATTTTTACCTTTCTTCTTGTCGAATTTTCCTTTAACAGCCAAACCTTCACCAACCGTCGAAGGTTTATGCTCCTTACGTTCGTTCAAGTCCTTAGAGTACAAGGCTGATTGAACTTCTTCAAAGGTCAGGGACTCTCTTCCATACAAGAGGGTTTCTTTGAAGTGAGCATGTGATCTGGGCAAAGCGCACAACAATAACAACGCTTGATCTTCATCATCAATCTTTACATCAATATTTTCAAGATCAAGAATCAGCTTGTTGAACATATCCAACTGCTCAGCCAACACTTTGTCTTCGATCATCTTGAATGAATACAAAGCTTGCTTCAGGTAGAGTCGATTTACCAGAGATTTGGTCATATACAAACTTTCAAGTTTCACCCATAACCCTGATGCCGTCGTCTCCTTTGATACCTGTCGAAGAACCTTATCACCAAGGCTCAACAAAATTGCGCTGTGTGCTTTCTCGATCATGGCCGTCTTCTCTCTTTCTGTTAGCGCAGCGTCCATCGCCGTCGCTCCCTTCAACGCTTCCAAACAACCCTGCTGAACCAGTAGAGCTTTCATCTTCAAGCGCCATAGACCGAAATCATTCACTCCGGTGAACTTTTCGATCTCATACTTTGTTGAAGGCATCTTCTCCACGCTCACCGCACCAATTTGTTGTGAATTCAATGCCAATAACAAAGTATAGAACAAGGGAAGAATAACGAACAAGGAAGAAGAAGAACACAAGAATTGGTTATAACTGCTATTCTTTACTTTCTCTTAGAAAACAAGATTACAAGTTTACAAGAATAACAAATAACCCTCTCACCCTAAATTAGGGTTTGCTGTGATGGCAATGATGAGAGACTAGTATGCTATTTATAATAAAACCTAACATACTAACTAATGGGCTTTTTCCACAAGACCCATTATACAAGCTAACTTAACAAACAAGCTAACTTAACAAATTAGGGTTTAAACACTAAAACCTAATTCGACAAGCATCCTTCGACAAATACATGCTAGAACCTTCTTCGACTACAGCAAGTACTTCGACCAACTAGAGTTCGATCCAAAATCCCACAAACTCTTATACTTGTATATTCGTTTTCTTAACCCACATATATGTGAAAATATAAACATAAGACAAACATTCTTATATTCGTATGTTCGCTTTCTTAATGCGCATATGTGTGAAAATATAAATAATTTTTTTCACTTAATTTAAATTTAAATTAAATTTTTTTATGGTATTAATATGAATTCATATATTAATAGTAAATTTTGTTTAAGATATATAATAATTATGGTACAAAATTAATATAGTCAAATGTAATAAAAGGAAAACTTAGCTAAATATTTTTATTGGGTATCATGTATAAATTATAAATCGAATTCTATATATTTTATATTTTTATGAACTTGTTGGTCTTTTTTATTGGGCATCATGTATAAATTATAAATCGTATTCTATACATTTTATATTTCTATGAAATTTGTGTGTATGTGCTTATGGCTTGTCTATCACCATCATCACAAAATAATGTTGATAGAAATTGAAATTAGAAGACAACATATATAAATTAAAATTAGACCATGTCCTATAACTTAAATTATTGTTTTTTAATTTAAGTTTATTTAAATTAAACTAAACAAATAATTATTCTATAGCTAATGATCTCCTAAAAATATGAAATCTTATGTATTTGTTTTTCTAGTTAAAAATGCATATTTAAATCTAGATGATTAGGTGATTTGTTTTTGCTTTTCTTTTTGAAAATAAAAAAAAAAACTCTGAAGTTTTATTTATTGTTTGTCAATATTTCATTTTTTCTCAATAACAATCAACAATTAAATAAAGGTCTCACTGTGCTTGTAATACAACTATAATATAATTTTTTTTACTAAAAATGTAAAATGTCCCATCTTCATTAAATTTTGTTCAGTTTTAAACTTGCAATATTAACATGAAAGTATCGGTTTCTCAAAATACATAAAATAAATTGAATTATAAAATTTTAATATTATATTAATTGCAATTGAATAATAATCATACACAAAAGAATATTGTCAATGAAGAAAAGTTCGCATTTTCCATCAATTCCCATTCACAACACCAATTTTTCTCTTACAACCCATTTATTAAGTTATATCATTTCATTTGAAATCAACCAATATAACTTGTAAAATAACCCATTTATTATTATATCATTTCATTTGAAATCAACCAATATAACTTGTAAAATAACAGCCATAAATAAATAATCAAGACCTAATATTTGCATAATATTTATTATTGTTTGAATGACTATGAAGTTTCTCCCACTTGATTTTCAACGGAATCATGTGTATCTTCTTCTTTCCCTACAACAAGTCAGATTAAATATAATAATAAATTAAAAGGAAAAAATTATATTATAAATTTAATTTTACTATTATTAATAAATTTAAATATTAATTTAAATGGATATATACAAAGTGATAATTGTAAATTTAGTTTTACAAATAAATTTAAATAGATGTATACAAAATTGAGATTTATAAATTTAATATTAATTTAAATTGGGATATATACAAAGTCAGATGTGCATTGTCATTTTCTTTTTTATAGGTTCAATTTAAAGAAAACCTGTTTTATATGTCAATTTTTTTTATTATCAATGTAATTCATGAAACAAAAATTATCTTCACTAATAATGTTCAAAGAAATTTTTTGACCATCCATTTGATCACTTTGCCATGATTTTCCTGTTATATATTCATCTCTTTTATCTTACACAAGGTAACAAAATAAATTATAAAAGAGGCGAGATTTTGACCAATAGTGCAAATACAAATTACGTTATTTTAATCATGTTTGTTTGAAGAAGAAGAGAGTCATTGCAGCAAATGCGAAAAGAGAGAAAAATATAAATTGAATTGTAACAAAAAAGACTTATATATATATATATATATATATATATATATATATATATATATATATATATATATATATATATATATATATATATATATATATATATATATATATATATATATATATATATATATATATATATATATATATATATATATATAACCTAATGGAAAGAAGAAGAGAGTCATGGGGCGAATGAGAAAAGAGAGAAAAATATGAATTGAATTATAATAACAAAAAAAAAAAGGTTTACAAATGTATCTAACCTAAAGGACCAAAAGATATTAACAAATAAAACCCAACAAACAAAAACAAACTATTCAATCCATTATCTTATTATCTAATAGTTAACTTAAGAAACAAGGGTTTTTGATAGAGATTAATTATTATATACGGTTGGTGTAAATATTTTTATATGACATTATTTTATAGATGATTAAGATAAAAATCAAACATTAATAAAAATCTAATAACTATGAATGACTGATAGTATAAGATTATTTCTTTACATGGTAAAAACTATAAAATTCAAATAGAATAAAGAGAATGAATATGTAAGTAGGAGAATAATGAAGATAATAGAATTTGAAATCAATGTGCATAGCAACAAAATATAGGTAGAATTCATATTGAATTAGATTTAAAAAATGTTAAGTAATTACAAGAAATGTTCTATTTAGAAAATTGTTGAAATATTAACTGTTTTGGGTTGGACCTGTCCTTGGTCCAACTACTAGTGAGGTCTAATTCAAGTTTGCCAACCTGCTGCGTTGAGTAGTATTTCTTCCGAGCACATCCCGATCACAGATGTCTTGTCGATCAAGACTGCTTTCCATCAGTGCTCGCAGAGACCATCTCCAACGAGCACGCACTCCTCCCGAGCATCTTTCTCGTAGGGCTGACTTTCAACCTCTCCGGATTTCGCGGAGTCTTCATGGTCCCGGAAATATCGCGTCCCTATCCTCCCTGTCTTGCGGAGGACGTTATCCAGGTAGGGGGTCACATGCGGGTTCCCACTGCACACGTAGAACCTGACAGTCTCTTTGTTGGATCTATTTAATCAGTCCAATAAAGAGACATTGGCCCAACGCTGGGGACTATAAATACCCTCTCTTCCGAGAGGGTCAGGTATTCAACTCATATCTCAGAACTCTTACTTGCTTGCTCATTCTGCTTCTTACTTTACCATCGGAGTGTCTTGCAGGTACCCTGAACGTCTGTGTCATCGACGTTAACAACAACATCGCCGACAACAATGTCGGCCTCGACAACGCTGGTACCGTCGACCATAACACAGTCCCTGGCGTCAACATGCTCGGACCTTCTGAATACATAGACGGGGCAACTACTTCGTCATCATCTCTGCCTCGCCGACAGGAAGACGATCGGCCACCTCCCCAGAATTACCAACACATCCAATTCCACGAGGTTTCCGTCCCCGTCGGGACAGACGCCACGACCAGGGTACTATTCGCGGCAATCAATCAAACCAACTATCTAATCTTCACCCAGGGGGAAAGACTGAGGGCGCTCGAGGACGATCGTAGGCCCCCGAGAAGACACAGGAGACCTCAATCTCCTCCTCCTCCTCGATAATCGGATGAACATCCCCAATCTCCCCCGCAGAGACATAATCGGAACATCTCTTGAAGCCCGTCGCCCCGACCACTCGGGCGACGACCCCCTTTGGAGAGGGAACAACTCGTCGACGCGGGAAGGCGCGATCACGGCCCCTCACGTCAATAACGAAGACCCCCAGGAGACAAGAACGGGGGAAACCATCAACGGTCATACCACCCAAGAACCTCTCCGCACGAATAGGGCCACCGTAACCGCCACAACATCAGATCTCCGTCTCGCTCGCTCGAACGGATTGACGAGGTTGACCCCCGCGGTCCCTTGTCGCAAGCTATCATGGAGGCGCCCATTCCCCCGGGCATGGAGAAGCCTTCCCACCTGAAGAAATATGACGGCATCGCCGACCCGGTCGACCACATAGACAGGTTTGAGGCCATGCTGCACTATCACAATGTCGGGGACCGATCAAATGCCAGTTGTTCCCCACGACGTTGAGGAAAGCTGCGATGGATTGGTACAAAGGTCTCACCCCGGAGTTAATCACCTCTTGGCGAAATCTGAAAAACCAATTCATCAGCTCGTTCACTGCTTTGCGGCGGACACCCGAAGACCGAAGCAGCCCTAGAGGCCATCGTCAAGAGACACAATGAGATCCTGAGGGAATTCATTGACCGGTTCAACCGAGAGGCCGTCCAGGTCCCTTGCACGAACCACATGAAAAGATACATGCTTGAGAGGGGGCTCCTCCCGGGCACCGAATTCAGAAAAGCCGTAGGTATCGAACCACCCCGGACGTTCGATGCCCTCCTCGAGAAGGCCAGAGCCTATATGGACTACAAGGAGAGAGAAACGGCCAACAGAGCCCGAGATCCCAGGAACCACGGATCCAGTAGTAGTCCGCGACAAGACACCGCCCCTCCTCGACGAACTGGCGAGAAGAGAAGGGACGATAAACCCCGAGACGCCCGAGAACAAAGGGGGCCCTCGGGGAGGTTCACTGAATACACTCCGCTAACGACTTCCCGCGAGCGCATCTTAGTGGAGTGCGCAAGTACAGACTTCAAGGACGGCGGCGTCAAGCGTCCTCGCCCCGCTCCTGCCAAACCCGGGATAGACCAAAGCAAATACTGCCAGTATCACCGGAGCCACGGGCACTTGACCGAAGACTGCGTCCACCTCAAGGACACCATCGAGACCCTTATAAAGGGGGGAAGACTTGCGCAATATCGGCGAAGCGATGCTCCTCGTCGGGATGCCCGTGAGACGAGGGAAGTAGAAGAGGATGCTCAACCATCGGACGAGTCGATTCCCATCCAAACCGTATTCTCTGTCACAAGACTCGAGGACTTCTACGTCCCCGAACATCTGCAAGAGCCTCTGTCTACGCACAACAGGTGGGAAAACTTCCCCTCCGCCATGGTCATCAACGGTGGAGGGTTTAATGATTTGACCATAAATTCAGCAAAGAGAAAGCTGGACGAACTGGTCGACGCGGCTCCCCCGTAAATGGTGACCTTCGAAAGGGTCAAAGGAAGATCAGAGCCAATCACCTTTTACCTCGAGGAGCTTCCCGGAGGGCCCCCCAATTCATCCATCCCTCTTCTGATAAGGGCGAGAATGGCCAACTTCGACGTACATCGCGTCTTGGTCGACGAGGGAAGTTCCGTCGACGTAATGTACAACTAGCTGTTCAGAACTCTACAGTTCGATGACTCTCACCTTTCACCATACGTGGGGTCAGACCTGCAGGGCTTTAATGGCTCGACCTCTAAGTCGTGGGGGTATGTCGAGCTTATGGTCACATTCGGCGAGGATACCGCTACCAGGCAGGTCAAGGCCCGTTTCCTTGTCATCGACTGCCCATCCCTCTACAACTGCATCCTTGGGAGGCCAACACTGGCAGAGCAGACTGAGGTGCCCTCCACCGTCCACTTAAAAATGAAGTTCTACACCAAGAGGGTAGGGGTCGCTACTATTCAAGGAGATTTAGCAGCCGCCTGAAAGTGCTTCAATGCGGCATCCAAGGGACACAGCACAGTCGACACCAGCACACGGTCCGCCAAGAAAGCTGCAACTGCACGATCAGAGCCTCAGCGGTCAGAGCCCGTCAGAGTAGAAGAACAGAGGGCCCTCCAAATATCGACTCGATCTCTCTGGAAACTTGCTTCGACCAGGACGAACCCTCTAGCGGCGAGCAGATTCCCCTCCGACCAATTCCAGATGGGAACTTCGAGCTCGTCCCCCTCGGTGAAGACCCAAGCAGAGGAGTGAAGATTGGCACTGGACTCCCCGACTTGGCGAGAAAGCAGATCAAGGCCTGCTTGAGGGAAAACGTGGATCTAGTCGCATGGAGTGTTGCGGAGATGCTCGGTCTCGCCCTGAGGTCGCCTGTCATCAACTCGCCATTGATCTAGCCGCTAGGGCAGTAGTACAACGTAGGCGTAGGCAGTCTCCGGAGAAAGCGGAGGCTGTTGAAAAAGCTGTAAAAGACCTCATAGAGACAAATTTTATTTCTAAAGCCCGTTATTCAACCTGGCTGTCAAATATTGTACTTGTTAAGAAAAATAATAAAAAATGGCGAATGTGCGTTGACTATACCGATCTTAACTGGGCATGCCCCAAAGATGCATTTCCTTTACCTAATATTGATATGCCGGTCGACAACTCGGCCGGCTATAAGATTTTATCGTTTAAGGACGCCTATTCGGGCTACAACCAAATCCCAATGGCAATAGGCAACAAACACTGCACTACTTTCATGACTAGCTCGGGCAACTATTACTACAACGTAATGCCATTCGGTCTGAAAAACGCAGGAGCAACGTATCAGCGGATGATAAACAAAGTCTTCCGCAACCAAATCGGAGATATGCTCGAGGTGTACATGAACGACATGATCGTCAAGTCCCGAGTAGACACCGACCATGTTGCTCATCTCAGGGAAGTCTTTGCCCAAGCGAGGCAATGCAAAATGAGGTTTAACCCTGAGAAGTGCACGTTCGGGGTCAAGGCAGGAAAGTTCCTCGGCTTCTACTTAACAGAGCGAGGAATCGAAGCCAACCCCGACAAGTGTCGAGCTTTCTCTGACCTCCACACACCTACGTCGAAAAAATCCATACAACTCTTGAATGACATGCTCGCCTCACTATCCTGTTTCGTTGCAAAATCCGCTCAACACGCCCTCCCTTTCTTCAAACTCCTTCGCAAGGAAGCAGCTTTCGAATGGACCGAGGAATGCGAGCAGGCCCTGCTCCATCTCAAACAGAGCCTCTCGCAGCCGCCCGTGTTATCACGACCAGTCGACGGGGAGACCCTGTTTTTATACCTAGTCGTCTCTGTCGAAGCCATCAGTGCGGCCCTCATTCGTGAGAATCATGACAGATAAAAACCTATTTATTTCACGAGCAAGGCGCTTCAAGGGCCCGAGGTTAGGTACCAAAAGATAGAAAAGGTGGCTCTGGCCCTCGTCAATGCAGCGAGAAGGCTCAGACATTATTTCCTCGCGCACACGATCGTCGTACGAACGGATCATCCCGTGAAACAGCTCTTAGGTCGACCAGACATGGCGGGCCAAATGCTGAAGTGGTCCTTGGAACTTTTAGAATTCGACGTCCAGTACGAGAGCAGGAAAGCCCTGAAAGCCCGGGTTCTGGCCGACTTCGTCGCGGAGATGACCGCTAATAACCCCCCGTTGGGAAGGAGCACAAATGGACAATCTTTGTTGACTGAGCCTCTAGCTCGACCGGAAGCAAAGCAGGAATCCTTCTTGAGAACGAGGAAGGCGTAGTGATCGAACATTCGCTCACCCTCTCCTTTCCAACATCAAACAATCAAGCAGAATACGAGGCGCTGCTCGCAGGGCTAAGACTAGCCGAGGATTTAGGCGCCCGCGAAATACAAATTTTCACCGACTTCCAACTTGTCGCGTCTCAAGTTCAAGGGGAATACCAGGATAAGAACAACAGCCTCATCGAACATCTAAACTTGGTCAGAGAACATATGAAAAAGTTCGACCGAGCAGAAATTTCGCACGTACCACGCGAATAAAACACATGAATCGACATACCTTCGAAGCTCGCAAGCACGAAGAAGAAAGGTGGAAACAAATCTGTCATACAAGAATCCATGTCTCGCCCGAGCATTGGAAAATCCGCGACTTTACCCGAAGTAAAAGCCAACGGGGAAAACACGTGCTGGATGACCCCGGTATTCAACTTCCTAACGAAAGGGGAACCCCCTGGACCAAAGAGAAGCAGTCGGGACCAAACGACGAGCATGCTCCTACGTGGTGCTCGAGAACAAACTATATCGCAGGGGATTTTACATCCCACTCTTGAAGTGCATCGAAGAATCCGTGGTCCCTGAGATACTACGAGAAATTCACGAAGGGATTAATGCTCAACACATGGGCGAAAAGTCCCTAGCACGAAAAGCACTGCAAGCGGGGTACTATTAGCCGACAATGCAGCAAGACGTCAAAGACCACGTCAAGAAATGTGACAAGTGCCAAAGGCACGCCGACATGCACCTCACTCCGCCACACGAGCTAAATACATTATGGTCCCCATGGCCATTTGCCTGGTGGGGAATGGCCATCCTCGGACCGTTCGTACAAGGGACGTACCAAAACAAATTCCTCATCGTGGCTGTAGATTACTTCACAAAGTAGATAGAGGTCGAAGCCCTCACACAACATTCTGCGTTTTTACAAGCGAAACGTGCTCGCTCGGTTTGGAATCCCCCAGGCGCTCGTCACAGACAACGGTACCCAGTTCACCGACCAAGGCTTTCACAGCTTCGTTGCCAAACTCGGCACCAAACAACACTTTACATCAGTCGAACACCCCCAGACTAACAGGCAAGCCAAGGCCGCAAATAGGATTATCTTGTGAGGACTCAAATGCAGGTTAGGCGAAGCCAAGAGGGGATGGGTCAAAGAATTACACATCGTCTTATGGGTTTACCGAACAACGCCCCACTCGACTATCGGTGAGACACCATTTTGATTGACTTACGGTACCGAGGCGGTCATCCCAGTAGAAATCATAGAGCCATCCAGGCGAACTGAAAGGCCCTTCGACGAAGAGATGAACGCTGAGGCCTTGAGAGATGAGCTCGATCTCGTTGAAGAAATCTGATCAGGAGCAGCCTTGCACGAGGCCACTCTGAAACAGCAGGCAGCCCTACGCCACGACAACAAAGTCGTAAAACGTGAATTCCAGGTCGGCAGCCTAGTCTTGCGGAGAAACCAGAAGGATTCCCGCAGGGAAGTTGGCCGCTAACTGGGAGGGACCTTATCGCGTCCAGGGAGCTACGAACACCAGAGAATATTATCTGAGCAATTAAACGGAGAACCACTGCCGCGACCCTGGAATGCTGCAAAGCTAAAACAATATTATAGCTAAAGCCCCTCACCTGCTGAGGGACTTTTGCCATCGAATGTTCACCTTCAGTCGACGAAGGGAAAAACTCGACCACGTAGGCGAGTCGAGGTACGGGCCCGACCTACCAACCAAAGAAGGCATAATGTCGTTCACTTTGACAAACAAAACATACATGCCCGACAGGGACACCTCAATCGAGCTCCACTGTCAAAGTACCCCAACATGGCAGAACACCCAGCTCGCGATGGGCAGTTCACGCCGCGAGCGTATGATCTCGATCGCGATCATACGCTCGTCATGCGGATCCCCACTCCGCGCCTTCGACACATTTCGAAGTGCGTCGAACCGACATTAGGGTCGAACAAATATCTCCATACGAACACAAACTTCGTGAAAAATTCATAACCACGATAACGGTCGGGCACATACATCAAATATTGTTATTCATCAGATAACTACTATAAACAAAGCATTCATCGAATAGACAGTCATAAACAAAGCAATCAAAATATACCGACCACAAGGGCCGGCGTTGTCCAAAATTACAGTTTAGGCATGACGACCAAAAAAACTAAAGGAATGAAAGCGGGCACACATGCCCCAAAATAACAGCGGACACGCAGGCCCAAATACGCCAATAAAAGCATTAATCACTCCCCGAAGTACCAACTTCGACGTCAGGAGAGTCAGGAGGAGGCACCACCCGACCATCAACAACCTGGGATAGAACCCCAGTCCCTTCGATATTCAACCCCGGATTCAACATGGACAGTTGATTCACAGCGGACTCAAAGCCATCGACCAAAGCGTCAACACAGTCCAACTTCAGAAGTTAAATTCGAGCGATGAAATCAGCACGCATGCGCAAGTCCCCTTCAGGCTCGTCTTTCGCGGGCAGCATAACAGCCCTCAGATCTTTGACCTCTCTCAACAGCCGTTGGTTGTCACTCTCCAATCGCTCCTTATCGAGCTGCAGGCATTCCTTATCTTCAAGGGCTCTGTCGGCCCTCTCCTTCTCCCCCGACAGCACGTCGGACTGCTCCCAAAACATTTCCTCAGAGCGTTCAAGAGCAGTCTTCAGTTAGCGGGTTTTGGCCACCAGAGCCGCCTTCTCCGACTCCAGCTCCTTGACCTGATCCAAGGAGTCTGACCCTTCACCCGCAAGGACAACCGCCATCTAGGCCATTTTCACCACCCCGGTCATGCTGGCAGCGAGGTACTTCCTCTGACCTTCCTTGTCGAGCCGTCTGATGATATTGGCCTCGTTGTCAGATACGGTCAAGGGAAACCCCTCAAAGAAATCTTTTTCCACAAAACAGGGTGGCGGGCTGAAGGTCCGGGCACCCGCCCCTCAATCGGTCACCTCGACTCCACCTTCTAGTCGACTCTGTTTCTTGTTAATCAAAGCAGATTGGCGCTCGGTGTCACGGAAACCCGAGGACCCACTGGATCCTTCCCTGCCCGACTCGGTGGCCGGACCCATTCGCGTGGCTTATTGCGGCTTCACCGACCTCTTACTGATCTTCTTATCTTGGGTCAGCTTCAGCAACCTCTCTCGACGTTCTGCCATGTGACTTGCAAAGGAAATGTACACAGGTTAGCCACATCGAAGAAAACAAAAAAAGAAGGTTATCAATAGAGTAAGCAAGAAACCTAAGAGCTCTATGGCCTGCCCGTAAGACTAGCACTCGACGAGCGCCTTGGTGTTGATTGAACGTGCCTCGAACGTCGACTCGCCATCCTCATCAAGAATGTCGTTCCCTTCCCTCGTAACCCACCGAGCGGGGAAGAAACCGTCGACAAATTTATTCAGGACACCATAAACCTCCTCGTCCCCAGCGTTCATACCGCCAGCGGGAGTGTGGTAGTATCCAGGTCCATGGACGTAATGGCTCGAACACCAGTGGATAGGAAACTTTGAGACTTTCCCAATCTCAGAATTACCCTCAGAATCCAAACACAGCTCGCCGTTCTTGTCCACCACGGCAGTCGATTCGAACAGCGAATCCACAGCTGTTTGAGTAGACGGTTGCAAAATATACCACTTATCCTTGAAATCCCGAACAGAATCCATATACATCCTAAACAACCTTTTTGATTGCTTAAGGGACACCCAGCTATGCTTTCCTCCTCAGGATTGTCGTTGCAGGTGAAAAACCCTAAAGATTAGGGGAATCGTTGCCCCGATCCTCAGGAAACGACATGTAAGTTCGAATGCCCAAATAAAGGCAATCACGTTAGGATGAATCTGGGAGGGAGCCAGGTTCAAGTGATTGAACACTCCCATCTGGAAGTCGTTGAAAGGTAGCCAGAGCCCGAGATCTTTAAATACGATCTCGTACACAGGGAAGGCGTCCTGAGTAAACTCTGAGCAAATGCGGACGTCCCTTGTCGGCCTCATGATCTTAAAATTTCTCTGAAACCCCTCCTGGCCGCCGCCGTACTCGACGATAATATAAGTTTTCCTGCCGGTATAGCTATAGATCGAAGCTATCCCCCGGGGTTCGGCACCGACCCAGTCCAGAGTATGGTCGTCGACAGTGTCGACCAGATTCATGCTTTCCTCGACAGTGCTGGTTTCCTCGGTGTCAATGTGCTCCGAGGACTCGGGAATATCAGCCATTTACCTGTAAAGTATAGGAAACCAGTGAATTCGACAGTAAATCCTCTTTTTCGCGACACAGACGGAGAGAAGTAAGCAACACTCAGACCAAATCAACGGCCATTCGCACGAAAGAGGGGGAACACGTGGACCTCGATCGAACACCGACCTTAACGACAGACGTCTATATCAATCATAAATATCACGGGCACAGTAAGAATATCGCGAGCAAAGGATGAACTTCACGACCAAGTTTGCAATATTGCTAGCCAGATACAAGAATACCACGGGGAAAATTAGCCTATATACTAACGAAAGGATGAATCTCCCGACCAAGTTCATAAATCTATTAGCTAAACGCATGAATATCACGGGCATGATCATAAACCGTATGCCTAAACGTATGAACGATGCAGGCATGATCATGAATCAGACGCCTAAAGCGCTTGAATTCCCCAGACATAATCCCCATACACGAAATTCTACCACTAAATAATATCAAAGAAAAAGAACGCTTACTTGGAGGAAAAATGAGGAGAGACAGTTGTGGAGGTAAGTACACGGCGGACTGTGGGGCGGTCTCAATGACACTGGGAAAATGCGCAGTGTTGACGACAGAGAAAATATGTGAGCGTGAAAATGTGAAAACAAATTATGGGCCCTGAAGCCCTATTTATAGAGATGACGTGGAATGTGAAACATCGTGTCGGACAATCACAAACTGCCTTTATCCTCTACACCTACTCGCATAGACAATGATGACTCCTACTCCCTAGGCCGCCATTATGGTTTCCAAGAACCACGCCACGTGTCTGACTAGTGTATCATCCTCTCCTCACGAGTATTCCTCAATCGCTCTTCGACCACTACACAAAGTAAATCATAAACCAAGCGACGTCTTCCGTCCACGGTAGAAAAACCCTGTGTCGCGCAGCGAGTCTCGCAAAGGGGCAAACTTGAATCAAGTCATAACTCCTTCACCAGGAGCAACGACTTAGGGGGCTCCTGTTCTGGACTGGACCTACCCTTTACCCAACTACCAGTGAGGCCCAATCCAAGTTTGCCAACCTGCTGCGCTGAGCAGTATTTCCCCCGAGCACATCCCGACCACAGATGTCTTGTCGACCAAGACTGCTTCTCGTCGGTGCTCGCAGAGACCATCTCCAACAAGCACACGCTCCTTCCGAGCACATTCCACGTAGAGTTGACTTCCAACCTCTCCTAATTTCGTGGAATCTTCATGATCTCGAAAAGATCGCGTCTCATCCTCCATGTCCCCCTGTCTTACGGAGGACGTTATCCAGGTAAAGGGTCACGTGCGGGCCTCCACTACACACGTAGAACCTGACAGTCTCTTTGTTGGACCTGTTTGATCAGCCGAATAAAGAGACATTGACCCAACGCTGGGGACTATAAATACCCTCTCTTCCGAGAGAGTCAGGTACTTCTGCCCGAACAAGCTATGACGGTCCATCTCTGATCCAGTAAGATCATTAACAAACTTCAACTAACCAACCATCTAACTAACTAATTTCTATATTCTTGTGCCAACTACTTTCAAAAAATTGTGTCATGTTAATTATTTTTATTAGGGATTGTTGCAAAATCATTAAAAACTCATTCATATTAGAGGTTATTTTAAGAATCATTTTATCTAAAAATTTAACCAAAATTATTTAAATGGTGGATGATCCGATAAAAAACTTGATAAATAATGGCCCACCACTATAATGTGACAATGTGACAACACTATAAGTGAGGATTTCTTTTACTCGGATATAATGAAGTTTGTCAATGCAAAACCCACAACCTTAATTATTTCTTCTTTGATGTCTGGATGCATCACACCATGTGAGTGAGAAAGTATTCAAGGGCGGAAAACTATTGCTTTATATATCACTTAATATGTGGTTGATTGAACTTAATATCTGGATTGCCCAAGAGCTTTATGATATTTGGATGACCAAAAGCCTTCTCATAATCATTATCTCTCTTGCCACAAACTTTATACTTTGAATCGAGACATTAAAGGATCAAAACATCTTGTCAACAATGAAGAAATATTGAAGGTTGCGTATTTTGGGTGGGCAAGCTTAATTAGATATGAGGAAAAGAAGTTTGTCATATATTTATGTAAAATAAAACAAGTAAAAGATGTAGATTTAATCAATGTTGGTCATGAGTGTTGATTTTAATAAGCAAGCAGAAAGAAATGATGGAGATTGTTTATTTGCTATGCGTGAAATGTAGATATAAGAGCAAATAAGAGCAAGTTAGTAAGAAACATGATTTAGACATATGATACTAGTATCTGGGGAATGCAAAGCTCTCCTGCGTCCAGTTTGGCGGATCCATGACAGCACATAAATCTGATTTCTCAAAATCAGCAACCTACATACAATTACATGAGCAGTAGATAGGCATGGCAGAGAGAGACAAGTCATCATCAAAATAACTAGTACCTTTAGTTGGCAATCAGGACAGTAGTGATATTTATGCCAGAGGCAGTCCATTGAAGGACAGAGAAAGCAAACTCCAACCATCATCGGCATCAAGCATCCAACGAATGCCGCAAGACTAATCTTCGATCTGCAAGCAGCATAGTCAGAGCCCCTTATTATACTACATATTGATCAGTTTAGGATCAAAATACCTGACGGTGGTGAGGTCGGTGTGACCGCAGTGAAGGCAATTGAAAGGAGCAGGAGTGTCTCTGTAAATAGTCTCTTGGATGGGAATACCTTTCGGATCTCCGATCAACGCGTTTGCTGGAACTCCAACAGCCACTTCTTCTTCTTCTCTTCCCATATTCTTCTCTTTTTCCAATTCACGATTCAAAGACTACCCAACCCTATATATACGTATATTCTAACTGCAAACGCGTTTTTTTCCCGATTCACCGCCTATATTGAAAAGATACAATATTCACTCATTTTATGATAAGGATTCACTAAATCTTTTTTTTTTAATTAAATATGCTTAATATAATATTTTATTATGAGGACCGTCTAAACCCACTCCATCTTTCGTTTAAATTTAGTTCAATGCTTTATAATATTGTTATATTATCTTTCTTTTCGTATTTCATTTTCTATACCAAAATCTAATATATCTAAATATTCCTTATGTGTGATATAAAGAATTTAATTTCGATAATATAAAAAAAAAAATTACATCATTAATTAATTATAACGGTTAATTTATTAAAAATATTTAATTTTTATTTTAAATTTTTTAAAATAATATAATTGAGTGGTTATGTATAGTACTATTATAAAAAAATTTATATTGATAGTATATAGTAATTAAACTCATAATATAAATGATTTAATAATAAAAGTTATAAAATAATTTTTTCTAAATTTACAAAAAATAAAAAATTTATTAAAATATAAATAATAATTTTATGTTTTTCAATTTTTTTATTAAATTAAAAGAGAGTTATTAATCCCGGATAGCAGAGCAGAGCGGCCGACTCTCGGGAATGGGAAAACCGGAATAGCGGGATCCCGGATAATTGGATAACTTTTTGTATACTAATAATTATATAATAATCTATAAAATATATGTCATGTAATACTAAACTAATTTTACAACACTCATAAAATATTTATAAAATCTAATATCAAACAAAGAACAATGCTTAATCAAGATTCAAAACATAAAGATTCAAATTCAAACTTAGTACTATCATACGAAAATTTAAGCAAACATAAAAATCATGTAGCATCATCAAAATATTCCTTCAATTCTTCATCTTCAACTTCTTCAACATCTTCCTCCAATTCTTCATCTTCAACTTCTTCAACATCTTCCTCTAATTCTTCATCTTCAACTTCTTCAACATCTTCCACCACTTATTGTGCCATTGGTGCTCTAGGTGTCATTGTTGCTCTTGGTGAAATTGTTGCTATGGGTGTCATTGTTGCTTGAGAAGTACTTCAAACTTCAAGTTGCCTTGTTGTCCTCCTAGTGTAGATTATAGGTTCATTAGCCCCACTAGCATCGGAAACTTGACTTCAAGTTAAATCATGATTTAGATGAACCAAGTCTTCACCATCATCTCCTACATTTTCCATCTCTCCCACCAACCATTCGGTGTGGAAATTAATTTCGTTAAATTCCATATGATCAATTTTATCCCGAATTACAAACCTCTCTATCAAAGCTTGATTATACTTGATGAACACCAAGTCTTGCAATCTTTGATGTTCCAATTTATTTCTCTTCTTGGAATGAATATAAAATACAATAATTTAAAGTATTAATTTAATAATACTTGCATGTAAGATACTTTAATATCCTAGTAAAAAATTAATACTCACATGCTCAAAGATGCTTCAGTTACGCTCACATCCAAAAGCACTGCAACTCAAACTCAACACTTTAACAGTCAACAATTGTAACTCCGGAGTTTCGGCTCCATAAGACTTTCACCACTCAGCTGCAAGTAATTGTAAAAAATCATTCCATTTCCATATACATAACACAAAGTGTATCATATGTAAAAAATCAAAAAATTATTCCATCTTACTTGGAGTTAATGTCGACCTTTGTCTAATTGCCGCTCTTATACCAAAGAGACCTGTAGCACTCCTGTATTGTGACAATTGTTCTGAAATCAAATCTTTCACTGCATAACTTTTACTAAGTGTCTCAATGCACTTACGAAGGCCTCTCACCAATCTACCATTATTCTCAATTTCTGGTTTAGAATAATAATATTCAGGATTGAGATAGTGACCTACAGAATATAGCGGATGATGAAGTTGACACTCCCATCTTTTATCAATGATTTCAAATACGGCTTCGTACTTGCTTGAATTTGAACTAAAAGCTTTCCCAATTGATTCCTTCGCTACCCCCATTGCGGCATATATGTATCCCATTATGGGTTTCCTTTCATTACCAACTATTCTTAGCACATCTACAAGAGGCGCCATGCACTTAAAAGTGTAGAGAACATCATTCCAAAATGATGTCGTAAGTATAGTAGTAGCTTCCCTTTGTCCTTTAGCATCTTTGGCACACTTGGAACTCGTCCATTCTTCACAAAGGAACATCTCTCTAAGCTTTCCTTTTAGTTCTTGCATCCTTTGTAGATAAAGTAAATGGATAGCAAACCTTGTCACTCCTTGTTTAACCAATTCAACATTACCGGTAGTATTTCTCATTAGATTCAAAGCAAACGTATGATTATAAATGTAGCCCACAACCTTAACCCCTTTTTGTATAACCTTTTGAACCTTTGGAATTTTGCCTATGTCTTCTAACATAAGGTCTATACAATGGGAAACACATGGAGTCCAAAACATGTGAGGCCTCCTTAAACACAATTCTTTACCCGCCGCTACATAATTACTTTCATTGTCGGTAATCAATTGAACAACATTTTTCACCCATTTCCTCAATAAAAGTGTCCAACAACTCGGCTAGCTTTTCCCCCGTCTTGGCATAGTTAGAAGCATAAACAATTTTCACAAACACGATCCCCGTCGGACAATTGACCAAGAAATTAATCAATGTTCTACCTTTTCTATCCGTCCAACCATCCGACATAATTGAACATCCATATTTATTCCTTTGCACCTCTTGGTTTTTCAACAAACCTTTTGTATATTCCAACTCGTTTCGAAGGATTGGAACCCTGAGTTCATGATAACTTGGCGGTTTCAAATGAGGACCATAACTTCCAACGACTTCCAACATCAACTTAAAAGCTCTTGCATTTGCTACGTTAAAAGCAACTCCACACGTATAAAAAAAGCGACCAATATATTGGATGGTTCTTGCTCTTGCTTCTTTATCACACGCATCATTGATGCTTGTGTCCTTACTCTTCTTATACACCAAATCCAACGACCTCTTAGTCCTCTTGACAACCATTGAAGAGGTCTCACTCTCAACCATCCTCTTTCCGGTTAGAATTCTACGTATTTCCTCAATATCAATGGTATCATCCGCATCTAATTGCACCGAAACCTCTTGTATTCCTTTCTTAATTCTCTCATTCTCAACCATGTTCGCACGCAATATAGCCTTAACATCCTCAGGTGTTTTCGTGCAAGAAACTACATCACCGATAATTGCTAATATATACCTTTTGGCTCTACTTATCCCCCCACTACTAGTTAAATTACAAAAATCACATGTCACCTTTTTCTTATTATTCAAATCCTTCAAATGATTGTATTTCCATCATATGTCCTTACTATTGATTGGTTTGAACGTTGGAGCACATGAAGCAACTGGCGCAGAATTCGGTGTCGACGAAGAAGCTGCCATATTTACCCTAAAACAGATAATGAAACAATACGAAAGAAGTATATTTACCCGAGGCTGGCTGAGAGTGAAACGAAGAAGTGGAACGGAGAAATGGAACAGAGAAATGGAACGGAGAAGTCCTTGCTGGCTGATGCTGGAGCAGCGGAGAAATGGAATGGAGAAGTAGAAGAAAGCTTGTGAACGGCGGAGATGTGAGACAGAAGTAGAAGAAAATGGAACAGTGGAGAAGATGTACTTGTATGTTTGTATGTTGTTGTTGCTGGAACGGTGGAGAAGAAATTGAAAATATAGGGCACAAAAAATAGGGCAGAAGAAAGTGAAACGAAGGAGAATGAAAATATAATATAAATTTGTTTTAAAAAGTATTTTAAAAGAGGGGTAAAATAGTAATTTTGTCCAAAAATTTTTTTAAAAAAAATACCAGGCCCGAACCGCTCCGTCCGGGATAGCGGCGATAGCGCCCGCGATATTCTCTCCGCCACCACACTCATGTGCACGCGCGACATGCCTCCACTCCGGTCTGAAGCGCCGCGATAGCGACCACTACGAGCGCTATTAACAACTCTGATTAAAAGATATGTGATAAATATATTGTATGTGTAATTAATAATTATGTAATTAATAAAGTTATATGAATTTTTAAGAATAAGTTAAATTCCTTGTACATAATATTTTTCAAAATTACACCAAGATTAGACGGGCCCCTTCCTTTACCCTTCCTTTGGGCTTCGGCCCTTCCTTTTCCCAATATATATATATATATATCAAAATTAAATAATAAAAAAAATTATACCAATTATAAAAAGTAAAGAATAAACCTATTAACCTATTATAATTTAAAATTAATTAATAAATACAGTTATACCAGTGATAAAATATACAATAAACAAATTACAATTCAAAATTTAAAAATAAATACAATTATACGAATATTAAAGTATAACATAAAATTATTATGATTGAAAAGTAAAAAATAAACAAAATTATACCAATTTTAAAATATAAATAAGAAAATCAACGTTTTCTATTAAAATAGATTATATATTAATTTAAAAATTAATATTTTGAAGTAAGAACAATGATGACAGACAATCATTCCTTATCTTTTATGGTGTGTTTGTTTAATGAATTAAATTTATAATTTAAGAAATGTTATTTCTAGAAATATTATTGTTTGAAATATAATTCATATCTATTTCTTTAATAAATTATTTAAATTTTTGGAATATTTTAAAATCTTATTTTATTTATAATTTAAAAAATTTTAAAATAAAAAAATATTAAAATAGTATATGAATAGATAGTTATAATTGGTTATTTGTTAATGTAAGATTCTCACATTTTTAACAGGACTCTGGTAACCCTTATCCCTAAAGGAGACAGACAGTGCTATTGGTATTAAGGACTATAGGCCTATTTCTGGATGCAATGTCTTTCTTAAAATTATCTCGAAGATTCTTACAACAAGATTGAAGAAGATCTTCCCTTCAGTTATTAATAAGAATCAGGCAGCTTTTGTATCA